CTCCTCCACAGCGATTCCGACGCCATGCGTACCACCCTTGTCCGTGCCACAGGTGAACACCCGAAAACCGGATGCTGTGAACTCCGTTCGCCCTGGTCTCCTGACCTCCTGCAGACCGACAAACGAAATGTCCTGTTTCGCTGCCTCGTGTAGGACGCTGTCGACTCTTCCATAGCCGTTGGCCCCGTTAACGGCCAGTGTACGCACATTGTAGGTTGCTACCCTAACAAGTCGACCCTGCCGCCTCTGNCAAGTTGGCTTATCGCGATCTACCTCGATCTCGTGACCGTGGTAACTCCCGACCGCCAAACTCAGGATCCTCTCCTAAACGGTGCTAGGGACCGTATATCCGTCGTTGTTGGGTGGTTTTTCGAGGGATAACTGGACTTGCGGGCCTCGGCCTCCCCCGGGGAGGGGAGGAGGGGGGGAGGCGGAGACTGGTGCACGTATAAAATGAGCCGTTCTGTGGAGAACACCTTCATAAAGGTTGAAACTCCCCAACGTCGGTCGAGGACGAAACCCTCTTTTCCACAATGGCGTCGACAATAAATGTCAGGTGTTTGCTTTTGGTTGCGAAAGACACGGGTTCGAAACCCGCTGCTCACCTAATTTTCTTCCGAAGTACGGAAAAAGAAAAACAGTGGGTGGACCAAGAAACGATGCATTGTCTATCGCACTCGAAACTTCTGGCAATGCGTGGCGGAAGTGGCGCACCCGCAACACGCACAGAAGATAGTTGGAAAAAAGGTGGTTTTACTCGCCGCCAGCCGGTCGGGTTCCGGTTACCCCAAGAAAACTTCTCTTGCCTAGCAAACAAGAAGAAGCCTCGAAAAAGGGGGCGGTAATGTGGTGAACACCTTCATAAAGGTTGAAACTCCCCAACGTCTGTAGAGGACGAAACCCTTTTTTCCACAATTCGGTTCCAAATATTTGGCGCCAAAAATTTGGAAATTTTGGAACAAAAAATTGGAATTTATTAAACGGCCCTTAGCATCGACAACTCCTCCATCAACCCAGACTGCGCTAGAATAAAGCTGTCATGACGTGTCCCCGCCACGGGGCCCCACAGATCCACAAATAGCCCGTCTGGTGTAATTACCCCTTGGAACTTCATGGCGTGCTTCCTCTTGTGCCCATTGTAGAACATTCGCTGCCAGTACTTGGGCCTGCGAATCAGTTTTGGGCGTACGGAAGGATGGGCCACCAACAACACAGGTAGGCCAGGACATACACAACAACATATTCGCCTGATTGAGAGCGTAGCATCTGATTGAGAGCGAGATTGCGCGATACGCTGTAGCCGGACTACCACTGAGAGGTGGAGCTTGCTGTGTAGCTTGAATTGAAGGGCTAGCCCGTAGCTTCAAGCCGCTACCCTGGTCATCCTGTGGGAGTCTCTCGTTGTGGAGCTACAGCGGGGAGCAGAAGCTACAGCAGAGCCCACCGCCCGACGCGATACCGCCCTGAAACAGTTTGAGCAGAAATAGCCAATCTGGGCAAATCTAGCAACTTGTCTAGCTCCTCGCTGCAGCATCCGATGACGATGACACGCATATGCTCGCGAAGCTGCTGATGAGACCTTCAATTTGCACCGCTTCTTGGAATAGCCCGTCCCCTACTTGCCAAGAAATGGCAAGAGGCGTCTGGACCCGAAATTTCAATTTTTTTGGCTCTCGCTCTCAATCAGATACTTCGCTCTCAATCAGGCGAATATGTTGTTACACCCAACAGTGCTGCTGTAGTTCATCGTTCTGCTAAAACTTCATCACTTGTTGCAACCTCGTGGTAAATCGCAATCAATCATGTGCACGCGCAACCACACGAAACAGGGTTTTCGCCTGATTGAGAGCGGAGTATGCGATTGAGAGCGGGAGCCAAAAAATTGAAATTTCGGGTCCAGACGCCTCTTGCCATTTCTTGGCAAGTAGGNCTCATCAGCAGCGTCACGAGCATATGCGTGTCATCGCGATCGGATGCTGCAGCTAGGAGCTAGACAAGTTGCTAGATTTCCCCAGATTGGCTATTCCTGCCTCAAACTGTTTCAGGGCGATTTGATCGCGGGCGGTGAGCTCTGCTGTAGATTCTGCTCCCAGCTGTAGCTACACAACGAGAGACGCCCACAGGATGACCAGGGTATTGGCTTGTAGCTACGGGCTAGGCCTTCAATTCAAGTCACGCAGCAAGCTCCACCTCTCAGCGGTAGTCCAGCTACAGCGCATCGCGCAATCTCGCTCTCAATCAGAAACTTCGCTCTCAATCACACGAAAACCTTGTTNGCTGTAGCTACACAACGAGAGACGCCCACAGGATGACCAGGGTATTGGCTTGTAGCTACGGGCTAGGCCTTCAATTCAAGTCACGCAGCAAGCTCCACCTCTCAGCGGTAGTCCAGCTACAGCGCATCGCGCAATCTCGCTCTCAATCAGAAACTTCGCTCTCAATCACACGAAAACCTTTTTACGACAGTTCCACACAGATGAACATATATGGTCTAGTGAGTGCGTCACAAAACTCGAGGAACGTACAAGATGGCCTGCTGATGCTGCGTTGGAAACGCGGCGGGAAAAGCAATCTGCGGGGGGAATCACGCAACTACTGTCTGCGGTATGTACCAAAACGCCAGAATCCGTTGAGTTGGACTTCACCTTGCAATGCCACGCACGGTGCCATCGATATATCCCCAACAGTGAGTGAGAGGACAGCCGGAGTTGGAGATCCCTGGGTTCCCACGTTTAATTACATGGGTTCCCACGTTTAATTACATGGGTTCCACGTGTGTGTGTCAGGAATTTTGACAAGAGCACGAAATTTTGACACGAGACCAGAATTTTGACACGAGACCAGAATTTTGACACGAGACGTCAGAATTTTGACACGAGAGGTTACGCCGCACTTTTTCATGTCAGAATCACAGGTCGAATTTTTTCGGAAACGTGGTCAAAATATTTCCACCGGAGGTATTTAGACACGAGAAAACGACAAATTGACACAAGCGCCATCGCACATACACAACGGTATCAACTCAGTCGGCAAGCTCGCACGCAGCTTCCCGCACACCCACACACGTGAACACAACGCTCCCGGGAGTACATCGCGATAGGGAAACGTCAAGCCGCGGTTAGGATCGTGTGCGTTCATCGCGGGATCGAGAACAAAACACTCCGAGGTTGGTTTGTCTGGACTCTGGACTCGAAGCACACGGGAGATGACCACCACAGCAGCTAGTCGGGTGCCCCGCCCGTGAAGGGAGAGGTTACAGCAGTTGTTGGTGGAAGAGACGGTAGCTCTGGGCGCACGTACGAGGGGCGCGAAGCCGCTGGCGGCGGTTGGGATTTGGGGAGTGTAGTTCGCGGAGTGTCGTTCTCGGGAGTGGAGAGGAAACATGTCTCCAGCTTTGCTACGCCAAACATGGCCATCACGAGGAACATGTCCTCCTCTCCAGCTAGCGCGCACAACACAGCAAGCAGTAGAACCTGCATGCACTCATCATACCACTCGGAGCGGATTCTACCTCGCGCAAGGCGCGCCATCCCCTCGCTCCAAGTGTTGGGCATAGGCAGAGTTTGAGTCTAAGTTTAGGGCGGGGTTAGACGGAAAAGGTATAAACGCCTGGGGGAGATAGAACGTGAGACCTCACCAACACTATCAAAACTGCAGTTAAACTAACGCTAACCGGAAACTACATTACGTTCGGCACTGGCAGTTGTTTCTCAAGTGCTGTCGTGAACTGTGCGGTCGCCAGGGGAGTCGACAGGCGATACAGCGACGAAACTATAATCCAAGAGTTTAGTTGCCAATCGTGCAACGAAAAGAGTATGAGGGGCTTTTATCACACCAAAAGCAGTACGATAAAAAAAAATATATTGATGCGTAACTTTGTTGTGGAACCACCACGTCACCACCGACGCAACAGCAAAGCGTGGACATCATTACGCATTTGAAGGACAGTCAAAATTCTTGACACAAGCACGTAGGATTTCATGGCAAGTTTGTAGGAGATGTTGGGTAGAATTTCGCTGGAGAGAACAGCAATATGCATGGCAGGACCTCGGCGAAAAGCGAGCCTTGACCCAAGACTGACGTTTTCCGACTAGATCGCAGAGAAAAATAGTCCGAGGCATCACTCAGCCAAGAAGCGAGGTTGACCCAGAAACTAAATTCCCGACTAGATCGTAGAGGACAGCAATAAGAGGCAGTACTCAGCATGACGCGGAGCAAGATCCACCAAATGCGTTCCTCCGAAGAGATCACTCAAGACCATTTCAGTGGCACAACACGAACTTTGAAGTTACACGGCGTGAGCAGAAGAAGAAAAATTTTGGATGTCCAACTGTAGACTTTTTTATTTTGTTTTGGTACAGCAGTCACCCCTGTGCAGAACCGGGGGGAGTGTTGTGGCATGTGATTCTCCTCAGGAGTGCTGTTTTATAAGGAACTGATTGTGCCACCATCTTCCCTTCCGAACGCGCGACCTGCCCTCCACCGCTGCCGAGTCAATCCTTCTGGAGCGACAATTGTGGTCTCCCCCAACGAAGGCGGACGATTTACTACTGTAACTGACGATGCTCCAGACGCGGCCAGTCGGACGCAGAGCACAGAAGGCGACCGCGGCGGAGGCGAGCGAAAATCCGCGGGGGAGAAACAATGGCAGGGGCAGTGGTCCAATGCGCTGGGGTTTATGGCTGGAAAAGTAGGCGCATTGAGGTTCATTTTGNGCGGACGATTTACTACTGTAACTGACGATGCTCCAGACGCGGCCAGTCGGACGCAGAGCACAGAAGGCGACCGCGGCGGAGGCGAGCGAAAATCCGCGGGGGAGAAACAATGGCAGGGGCAGTGGTCCAATGCGCTGGGGTTTATGGGTGGAAAAGTAGGCGCATCGAGGTTCATTTTGAATTTGATTTAGTTTGAGATTTGGCGTTCGTATTGAATGATGCAAGCTTGGGTTTGGTTTTTCAGATCGGATTGAAGTGTGGATGAGAGGATCAGAAGTACTGTTTTGATTTTCGGCACTTCTCGTATTGTTTTTCGGCTTGACTCCGACCCCTTCTCAAAGCAGGGGGGCGGATCCTCGGAGCAGGGGGGCACGTTATACTCTTTCAAACGAAATGGCGTTGCTGACCTTTCCTCACCGAACATTAATGATATATTTTGAGTATTTCAGGTAGATAGTATTTCTTCGTGTTTTACCTGCGGACGAAGGTTTGGTGGATAAATGAAATAATTTGTCTTAGGATTGCATACATCTTGGTAATGGTAGGATACCTAGCTAGGCGGATTTAGAGACGCACCTACATATTGTGACGAATTGGCGGTGAAAGGAAAGGCGTCTTTGAACGGCGTTCGTCATATTTTTCTGGATGAAAAGAGTTTAAGTTGAGAATGTTCAGAAGAGAGCGAGAGTGATTGGCGTGTGTTGGTATGCTATTTGGATANCACCTACATATTGTGACGAATTGGCGGTGAAAGGAAAGGCGTCTTTGAACGGCGTTCGTCATATTTTTCTGGATGAAAAGAGTTTAAGTTGAGAATGTTCAGAAGAGAGCGAGAGTGATTGGCGTGTGTTGGTATGCTATTTGGATACTTTTGTCGTGTCTGAAGTATTTTCGTTTTCTTGGTTTTGATTGTGTTTCGGCATGAACTGGCATGAGAAGGATGACTATGATATTTTCCCGGAGCATGACGATGCATACGAGCAGGGGGGCTATTCGATATACTCGTAGCATAGCATGCGGGTGGTATATTGCGTATACATATGCGGGGATTGCAGCGACGAACTACGGAGGAACAAGAAGTTTCTTTGTGTTTTTCTTGGGAGTGTGGTAGATTGGTGGACATTCATGGAGATTCGTTTTGGGTGTTTGAGCGTTATGCGTGCCTTGATGCCGTGATGGAATGACGAGCTCAAGCACGCCCCCGATGAATACAACAACACGGGTACAACACGGATACAACACGTATACAACACGTAATCCAACACGTCTGCACGACGTTACCTACCCCTACGGCCCGTAATGGCCGAGCTGCTCTACACTCCCATCGCACACAACTGAGCCACCCGAATAATCGATCAGGAGCATTGTGCGCAGCGAGCTCTGACATTAACAGTCCTACGCTGGGACAACCCCTGTTCGGTTCGCCGTGCCCCCTTGCGACGGTGTATCTCCGAGACCACGTGCCGGTCGAGGCGATGTGGTGGCTTGAATGAAAGCTGGGAGCCGTGGCATGACTGCGGTAGTTGTTGCGGCTGCCGGCGAGACGCTTGGGAGACGATGTGGGGTGTTGTCCCAAATTTGGAGTTTGGGACAACCCCTGTTGGGGTCGCCGTGCCCCCTTGCGAGGGTGTATCTCGGCAACCACATGTCGGTCGAGGCGATGTGGTGGCTTGAATGAAAGCTGGGAGCCGGTCAACTTCATCTCAGGCCCTTTCCCATCTTGGCGGGGCGTGGGCATCGATGTAACGACGCGGATATGTACAGGACACCTCCCAATAATCCTGCGGTGCCCCTTGGGAGGGCATATCTCCGCATGTACAGGTCGGGTAAGGCCACCCGATGGCTTGGATAATAGCTGTGGATCATACAAGCACAATAAAGGTCTTTGGGGGTGTTTCGGAGGTGGTTGGGCCAAGTTATGGAGGAAAACGTGGATTTACCGAAGCCACGGAGCCCCTTTTTTAGGCTCTATCTCCTTGGCCCCGGCTCCGTTGTGGACTCAAAATACATTCCGTGAAAGCTGTGTCCAGTAGGATTACAACAAACTTGGTTTGAGGTCGATCCGAGCTTTCGACGCCGAGTTAGACGTGTTGTCCCAATTAAAATTTGGGACAAAGTTGTGCCAAATAGCCGTGCCGTTTTTTTTATTATATAGTCATATACCATTGCATAAATCTATGGTACAAGACTACAAGCTGGGCCAGTCAAGGCGCAAACATTCGGTCGTCCAGCCATATCTCGTGAAGGAGTCAGAATTGGAACGAGCTTGGCATATCTGCTCAATCAGCCAATCACAGCGGGTGTGCAGCTGTCTCTCAAGAACCCTGTTTACACGTTTTCTCAAACGAAGAAAACACTCCGCATTTCATATGGGTTTTAAACAAGAAAAAAAGTATAGCTGAAACCTTTTTTTTTGCGGCGGACGTAAGATTTTTTGAAAAAATGGCGGGTCGACGCGGCTGGGTTCTCATCCACGTAAGAAGCTGAACCTTCAGATCCTCCTCGGACATGATCCAGTCCGGTTCGTGCGCACCCCTTAAATCCCGCCTGAAACCACCGTGCTTCCGAAAGTCTCTGAGCCACCGTAGGATCGTAGATGCCGCATACGGGTGCGAGCCAGTTTCTAAGACGTTGGCCGCGATCCGCAGGAGGAGCGAAGCATCGTGTCGAACAAGCGATGCCTCCTTCAGCAGCTCAAACCGTTTGGTTTCGGTTTCCCCCACGGCGGCATCCGTTGCATCCTTGCAGCCCACAAGAACGTTGCTCGTCTTTATCTACCGTGAGGTCCAGCTGCTTGGTGTCGCGGGCCAGCTCCGCTGTCAGCACCTTCAACATGGAGTACGCTTGCTGCCACAAACGGTTGACTGCTTGTCGGATATTTTACCCTCCAACCTCCAAGTCGGCCCCCGCGGCCTCGGCCTGCATTCTATCGTCCGCGTCCTCACCGTCCTCCACGGGAGAGGGAGGCACGGGGACGAGCAGGCTGGCGACTTGGTTCGTCGCGAGGGCAGTTCCGAGACGCCGCATATTTTTCTTGTTGACTCTGATGTTCTCCGTCAAGTCTTGAACCCGGCCGGTGAGGTAGGCACCACGCTGCTTGTCGAAGGCCTTCCGAAGCTTCGTCTCTCTCCTCCTCCAACGCCGCCTCATCGAGCGCTGTTGGCGGCTGGTGAAAACGTGCTGCTGCGTCGCACATTGCGCTCGGGTCGCGTCGGAGCCGGCCAGCCGCTGTCGCTTGAACCTGGACTGCTGTGGGGCGCTGAGGATCCCAATGCTGTTGCACGATTTCCCTGCATAGTGAGCAGCGGTTGGGAATTGCAAGAAGGCGGCAGGGCAGCACATCTTCGTTATATTCAGCAGCAGCGAATATTATGGAGTTGGAGACCACCCCAGAAGCAGGATACAATGTGCAGAGGGCAAGGAAAACTGGTCAACCTGAAAACAGAAGCAGTGCCTGCTGCTGTTCGCAATGTGTGACGACGTCGGCGCATCTTCATGCAAATATTTACCTCGGCGATCTACAACATGTGTTTGGAGCATGATGCATGTATCTGTATTTTAACACCGAAGTACAACACGACGAAGAGATATCATGAACTAAACGATACGTTCTCGAAGAGCTCTTGACAAGACGGTTGGCGCCGCCGTCTTCGGCGCTGGTCCTCTTTGCGCTGTTGATTAATCGAGCTGTCAAAATCGGTCCAGGGGGTGTGTTATCTTGTGTCACATACAGTAGCACATCGTTGCAGCAGAACACACCGGGGTTACAGGCAACAAACTTGAGCCAAAGCTGTTGTACCTACTGCTG